GGCACCCACCCTGTGGAACGCCCTCCCATCAGATGTCAAGGAAATAAACAACTATCTGACTTTTAGAAGACATCTGAAGGCAGCCCTGTTTAGGGAAGTTTTTAATGTTTGAAGTTTTATTCTGTTTCTGGTGTTCTGCTGGGAGCCGCCCAGAGTGGCTGGGGAAACCCACCCATCTGGCTGGGGTATAAATAATAAAATTATGATTATGATTTACTTATTAAAGTCCTATTACTGACACCACTGCAATGGAGACCAGATGCTTCTTCTGGAGAACTGCAGTATTTATATCCATCTTATAGACATGACTTGATCTCCTGTTAAGGCATTCTGCCAATGCATGGTTGGATTCAGCCTCTATCCTGATTGTTTGTTCATCACAATCTCATAAGGAGTCAATATGATTGCACATTGCTATTCAAAGACAGACTGCACCACTGATTGGTATGTTTATAAAAATGTGAGATTGTCTTTTACACTGGTGGAGCAATCCCTTTAAAGAAAAATGCTGCCACTCATGACACCAGCCACCAACCATGAGGTGTTTGGGTGGCTGGAAGAGATACTTAGGCTTCATCCAAACAGCAGCTTCCTGAGCTATTGGGTTTGTTATCATCAATATCTGTTCATTTATATACCACTTAGTGCCAAAATGCATTTCTACGCAGCTTGCAAGTATAAAAACCAATTACACCAGTATTTAAATAGAAACATCAATAATTAACACAATGAAACAATCCCACTGAAACAATACGGTAATTAAAGTCAGAGATTTGGGTTGAGAGATCAAGGGAATGCCTGTGTAAACAGGTGCATCTTCAAAAGCCAGCAATATTTTAATGATAAAGCTGAAACATCAGAAGGTTTATTTAAATGGCAATCATCTTTTCCTGCATTTGATAGAGGAAATCTGTTCTTGCAGGCTGCATGGCTAGTGCTATGTGCTGTGTTCACAATGCAGTTTGCTTTCTGCTGCCTACCTTTCTACATGCAAAAGGATTTGCCTTGTTGTTGAGGCTACTGGATCAGGTGAGACTTTCTACCAGAACAAAAAGGCACCTAGCATCTCAAGTGGCTGGACACTGTTAGAGGGGACGGCTAGTGGCTGGGCATATAAAGAAGACCTGGAAATTCCCAGCGGAGACTAAAATTATAGTGGAGAATATGGCAGGCATCCTACCAGGGCACAAGCAGCCCTAGAAACTCATAATGTGTATATAATAAAGGGAAAGGGCTGGACAGAGTCCTAGTAAGGTCAGATTCAGTTTTCATTTAAAGGCGAGTATATGTAATTCACACTTTCTGAACCAATATACAAACCGAAATGAAGACATGTTTCAAAATTTGCTCTTCAAATTTTGCAGTGCAATTCTCTGACCAAGCAATGTATACAAAAACTCTCACACCAGTATGCATATAAATGCATGCATTCATAAAAGTAACATACAAAATTGCATATTGAGGGAAATTGCCTTAAAATGCATACAAGGCAAAACTACACAGAAGAGTGCATATGTTAAGAGACATTGGCATGGGACCACAATTTAAGGTGTTTTGTGAAGTCAAATTTAAATATATTATATATATATATATATATATATATATATATATATATATATAAACAGTTATACTTTTTTTAAAAATGGACATCCTATATGTATAATTCTTCAAATCAGAAAATATCCCATCCACATTTACAGACTGGATGCACCCTCATACCGCTCCCTTGGCATCTGTTGCCCCTACACACCCTCTAACCCCCCACAAAAATCAGATGGCCTGCAACCCCCTTCCACACCACCTCACAGAGTTCTCTCCTTCAAACTGCACAGCAAATGATAGCGATATCAGGATAATCTCACAGTTGTACACTTTGATTCTTAACTTGCCTTCCAGAAGGGCTTGAGAATCAGTGGGTTGTATTCTTTTATAGTCATGGGCCCTGGTGCCATTATTCCAACTTTACTATGCATAATCTGGTTTTGCCCAACAGTTCTGGTCATGACCTTGCTGTTGCAGCAATGCCAGCTTATTTGTATTAGAATAAGTTCCACTGAAGTATGTTCTATAGCAGGAGTGGGGAATCCATATCCTACAACTGTCCCGATTTTCCCGAGACATCCCAGAATTACAACTTCTGATTGGATCCCAAAATATCCCATTTTCCACCTCCAGTGCTGTTGTCAAGCTTGGGGAGGAGGATGAGCTTGCAACCAGCATTGGTGCTTGCTGTGGAACTATGCTTTCATGTGAGTCAGCTGACTCCCATGAGAGTGTGGCAGTGAAAGACACGTGTCCCAATTTCCTTCAGTTGGAGCGTATGGAAACCTGTGGTTCTCTTGATCTTGTTGGAGTCCAGATCCCATCAGCCCCAACTGACATGGCCAGTAGACAGGGATGATTAGAGTTTTGGTCCAGTAACATCTGGAGGGCCACAAGTTCTCTAAAGCTGCTATAAGAACTGTGGGAAAACAAATTCAATCTCTTCTTGCTCGAAGACCATGTAGCTTTGCAACAGTTGGTAAAAAAGAGTACAGAATAATCTGCTGGTTTTCTCCTTTCCTCCCCCACAATTTGAACATACTGTTCCTGAGTGGCTGCATGGAACCACTTTTAGTAGAGGCAAGATTGCAATTACAGATGAGGGTAGCACAGTGTCAGCTATCTTAACAGATCCAGTGTTGAAGTTGTAGTAAAGCCCACATTACACAGCCGAAAGACTTAACAGGCTGTAAAAAGAGGTGCATTGTCTATAAAGATTTAGGATTATGGACTGGAGCTTTCCTAAGTGTATTTCAGGATAAAATAAGTGGCTATTAATTATGGCAGTCTGTGTACATTATCTTGTGAGGATGTTCCTAAAACTTCACCTATCAAAACTGGAAGGAGATGATAAGAGCTAGAGTGTTCCACTGATGCCCTGTGCTCTTAAACACTTCTCTTAAGACACTGGGAACTGTCCACCATTGCAAAAATGATGCTGACTTGAGTGGACCATCAGTTTGAGTGAATTGGCTCATTAAATACCTATAAAGCTTCTATGGCTGTCATGTTAGTTCTGCCAATGGCTTATAAAAGGGCTTATAAAATATGAGCTCCATTCCTGTCTGTTCTGTAAGCTATCCATAGTCCACCTCTTACCAAACAACAGGCAATAAAGTTTTGGACCAAGTTTAGGTTATTTAACTTAGATCAATTCATATAGGTAGCAGCTGATGCAGAGGAGTATGGTAATTGGATTTTGAAGATGAATGCAGTGTACTGGTATGAAGAGAGGTAGTAAAAAAAAAAGGTGTATATTAATGAACATAAAGGGGGAACAGCCTTCCCCCTAACTGCTCTTTAATAATGCTTTGGTGTAGACAAGGGATGATAATGTAAGGCCAGCAATTCTTGAATATCAGTTTGCGTCTAGAGAGCAAACCACCCAAAACAGCTCCATTAGTTTCCATGAGACCTGTGCTTGTTTTCTTTTCCAGCATTTTCTCCCTATGAATTCATTTATAATTTAATGCATAATATGGATGTCTAGAAGCCCCCTACATATGCACCCTCTGAACCAACAGGTAAATAGAATGCAATAGATCAGTGGTTCTGAATTGGTGACCCACGGACCTTAGGGGGTCAGTGTAACCCACCCAGGGGTCCATGGCACATATCTGTCAATTCTCTGGGATATCCCATTTTTGGAGCCATGCTGTAGCACATGGGTAGGCAAACTAAGGCCCGGGAGCCGGATCTGGCCCAATCACCTTCTAAATCTGGCTTGCGGACGGTCCAGGAATCAGTGTGTTTTTACATGAGTAGAATGTGTCCTTTTATTTAAAATGCATCTCTGGGTTATTTGTGGGGCATAGGAATTCGTTCATTCCCCCCCATATATAGTCTGCCCCCCACAAGGTTTGAGGGACAGTGGACCGCCCCCCTGCTGAAAAAGTTTGCTGACCCCTGCTATAGCCTCTCAAAAGTAGGAGGCCCATGGTCTGGCCTTTGAAAAAACAGGGGGTCCTCAGTACTTAGGTAACTGGGAACCACTGCTTTAGATAGCTCCCCTCCCTTCCAAACTGTGAAAAGTCCCCAAAACACACTGTTTGCAATGTGTTTTATGACGCTAGGACTTTCTGTTCCAGTTTATTTCAGCTCAGCTCAATGAAACTAAAAATACACATTGAATTCAGTTTAGAACAGTCTGACTGACCAGAGGATAATCCCTTCTACACGTTTTGCTATATATTATTCTTCTGAAAAGGATTAGTTGGGATGTTTCTCATAGCATGAGAAGATGAGGTGGTATTTGCCATCAATCAATAGCATTCTGCAGTGAAGTTGCCATTTTTTATTTTAAGAGAAGTGTTTTTAGAAAGTTTAGATAAATGTTCTGCGCAGGAGGGTTTAAAAAACAAAACACCACAGGTGAGGAACAGAATGCAGTAATCTAATAACATCAATTTTAACAATCTACATAAAGCTCCCAAACACTGATTACAAAATGAGAAATTACATGATTGAATTATGCACTTGATGGAATTTGGGAACAGAGGCTGTTTCCAGTCCATGAAGGCTTGACTTTGATTCTAATGCAATGCATGTATGGCAGTACAGTAGCTTCATTGTTCTGCTTAGAAATGTTCAAATGACCAAACTTGTGAATATGTGAAAACTTGTATGCATGAGGCAGTATTCCATTTCCAGTAGGGCTTTTATAATGGTAGACATGCCCGGTTAGAAGGTTGTTGCCTTGGATCCAGACAAGCTTGCGGAAACAGTGCCCCTGGGACTCTCCCATTGGAAGAAAGGAAAAAAGGCAATCTTTTCCTCCAATTGCTTTCCACCCCCCATTCAGCTCCTAAAAAAGCTGCTCTGGAACAGTTTGGGTGTTGGCGTGGGGAAGCTGCAGGGGAAATATTACCTCCCCCTTTCCTCCAGTGGGATGTCTGGATGTCTTCCCATCTCTTCTGAGAATGGAAGCAGGGCTTTCTATCTGTGGAAGGGGATCAGACTAGATAGCTCAGTTGGTAGAGTATGGTGCTGATAATGCCAAGGTTGCAGGTTCTAATCCCCATATGGGATAATAGCATATTCCTGCATTTTAGGAACTCCCTTCCAACTCTCTGATTTTATTATTCTATGAAACTCTGAATGCAACCAATATGTTTATGGTTCTGTACCATCTCTTTTTCTGTATTCTTTATGCTTTGTGAAAGCTCCTGCAAAATAGTGATACATTTATTGTTCAGGAAATTTTTTTTTAATAAGACAAAAGTCTAACTGGATCAGGCCAAAGGCCAACTTCCTGTTACCATAATGGCCAAGCTTGCAAGCAGGACCTGAGTGTCTTTTCCAAAGAATGGAGCACCAGCAGTTGTGGCAGTGAGGATTATTTCCTAGTATTAGAGCCAAAGAATAAAGTGCTGTAAATCAGAAGTGTATGAAATTCAAGACTTTCTTGCATTATAAAGATCTTATTTTCAAATCTATTTTATTACCCACGGTACTTAGTGATAGAATTCTGCCTTCAGACATGCTGTTAACCAATGCCATAGGCTTAATATATGGGTGTCTTTTTCAAACAAAATCCATCTTAGCTTCTGAACATGTCCATCCTCTCTAATTCTCTAATAGCCTTTTACTGTACAGCTATCCAGATTAACTCAAATACATGATATCTTCAGACCCCATTATGTTTAATTGTATCCGATATGCATTCATCTATTGAAATGCAAGGTACAATGCTACATCCCTGCAAGAAAAGGCTAAGAGCCTAGAGAACAGATGAATTTCAAATTCTAATGGATGCAAATTGATTTAGATGTCACTACAAAGATACTCAAGGCTAATAAAAAAATTACAGAGGATTGGAGAATGACATCCTTGTATATTTTTAAAATGCTGGGGTTTTTTTCTTGTGCAAAATCTGGAATGCCAGTTATATCCTTTGCCAGAGGGAAGTCAATGTAATTGGTGGCATGACTTTTACAGTTTTTGCAAAAAGCTATTTGTCATTAAAATGACTTGCTGCCACTTTTCTTTTTCACTTACACTTGTAGTATGTTTATTTATTAAATTTGTATATAACCCTTCCTCCGAAGATAGGGCTGCCATACATCAACCAACAACTTTTGAGGTGGCCTGGTTTTTACATTTTGAAATACGGCAAGTCCATCCAAAGGCGATTCACAACCTGAAATACAGAATGAGAGCATACATAATAAAAGCAAGAACGAAAACAAACCAATAACCCTCCCCCCAAAACACATTTAAAATGACATGAATGTTAATCACCCCAAGCCAAAGGCCTGGTAAAAGACAAACGTTTTCACCTGGTGCCTAAAGATATGTAATGAAGGAACCTGGCAAGCTTTCCACAAACAGGGAGCCACCACAAAAAAGGCTCTTTCTTAGGTTGCCACCCTCCTGAATTCTTGTGAAGGAGGCACATGAAGAAGCATCTTAGGTAATAATTGCAGGTTTTCAGTTCTGATTTACTCTTTTTCTTATTTTCTAACCCATGCTTTAAGGAAGTTTGCTGCCCCTTAAACACATACATTCAAGAACCTTGGCTATTTTGTTGGGCTTAAGAAAAGAAAGACAAAGAAAGAACCCAAGCCATTTTTTAAGGTAACCTGAAAAATTGCTTTTAAAACATTATGGAGAAGTTGCTTCATGATTTCACAAGGACTTGCCAATCTTCAAATTACTCTTCACCTACAAACACCAAGAATTAGTTCTCCCCCCAAGAGAATAGATCATGATGTGGATATGCTTGATTAAGGCTCAGAAACCAAAGGTGGAGAGGGAGTATTTATGGGGGCAGTCATCCTTCGCCCCACTTTTGCCATCTAATTCCCAGTTAGGTTTCTAGGTAGTAATTTTTATAGAAAGCCATCTCTAAGTTCTGCCTGACAGTAGTATTTATTCCTTGTAGGCAGGTGTCATAGGTGCCTAAGGCTCACTTTGCCCATCATAGTAAACCATAGTTTGAAACAAAATATGGACAACCCTTCCTGACTCTTGCTGCACTCCAGACAAAACTAGCCAGAATCATGTCATCTGAATTTAGGCTAGTGGTATGTTTACCCAATACAAACTATGGGCGGTGAGCCAAGAACAAATCTTGGTTACTACTGCTCAGAATTTGTTTGGGGGAAGCAAACAAAAAGCCTGGGTTCAAATTATTCAAGAAACCAAATTCTGGCTTGCTTTGAATGTGGTATGGCAGCAGGAGTGCAGGAGAAGGGATGTGCGAACATGAACTAGCAGTCAGCAGCAGAGCAAGCCGATTGGGCACCTGGGGCCAGCTGCCCGCCCATGGGGGCGGGACCAGCCACCCGCGGGGGCAGGGCCAGCCAGGGGCAGGACGCTCTGCTGGGCCTCCAGAGTCTGCCTACCTCCTCCCACTCAGCCGCCCTACAGCTGAGGGGGAGGCAGAAGGCAGACTGTTTGGGGCAGCACGGAGCCTGCGGGCACTCAAGCCAGCGTATCACTCCCAGGAGAGATGCGTGGCTCAGCCGCGCTGCAGGCCCCATGGTGGCTGCCGCCTGGCATTTTGTCACCTCCCTCAGTGGTAACTGCCTTGGCGGACCACCGCCACCGTCCCCTTCCTCTGTCCCTGCTAGCACTCTGCCTGTTCATGTTAAACCCTAGGTTGTTTTAAACTATGGTTTGGTGTGATTATTTAATGTGTCATTAAAACGGTGAGAAAAGTTCAGTCGTAATATTTTAACTATGAAACATCAGCACTTTTTAAAAAATCCCCCTTCTTCCCTTCTGAAATTCATCTTCTGTCATAGCTTTGAACCTATTCCTTCTAGCCTGAATTAGGGAAAAAGGGGACGCTTTTACTGCTTCAATTATACAAATTTTATTTTCAAGCAACAGCTGTGTGAAATCATCTAGAGAGAGATTGCTTTGACTTGGAAATAACACCGTTTACATTATTACAGAAGAAATATTCTAGAAAGCCCTTTACAAAAATAAAAGAAATGCAATGCAACGTAAAATATTTAAAATCTCTGTAGGGCATGCACGGCAACTTTGATGCAGCTTCATGTTAATTGGAAATAGCCTCCCAAAATCCTCCACCCTTTTAGCGGATGCCAAAATGGTTGGGTGGAACCATTTCACTGAATATTCTCCAGGAGGAAGAAGAATTCTTGAAGATTTCCTTGACGGGCAGGGCTTATCATTCGTGGCGGCAGCAACACACCTTTCCTTGCTGTTCTCTCAGTTCATCTGATTTCTGTCATTCTGTGGCATTCTGTTTATATGTAGTGTTAATGCATAGAAGATAGAAGTTGAAGTGGTGAAAACCTAGACACCAATATTGATACAAATACCTGCCTTTACACAAATGAGTCGGGATACAAATCTTCTGAGTTTGCATCAAGAATAAGGATATTTCGGGGCTCCTACTGAACAGCAGGAGCTGCCTTATACTGCCTCAGTCCTCCCTGCTTCTCCTAGTGGAACCTTCTACTCAGTCAGGAACCTTCTGTAGATGGAAGCAGCCCACCTATGCACAGAAGGCAAAGTCTGGTTCTAACCCATAGTGCTCTTTTGCTTCTCACAATTGGTACACATCCTTGGGATCTTTTGCTTCTTTTCCTGCTCCAGTTTCACCATCAAGCTTTCATTTTCTCCTGCCACTAGGTATTCATGCAGAAAGTTTATTGAGTATGTAAGTGTCACTTTTAACTAAGTCGGTGCTGTGGCCACAGCAGACCCAGGGGATTGAACTGCTATGTGTAAAAATGCCTGTATAATCTCCTTTTCACAGGAGTTACAGATTCTCTTCAAGGACATTAAGCATTTAAGTGAAACCATGCAACGCTTGGCACATACACTTTAGTAATCTTCTGTTATATGATAGATGACTCCAGTAATGTCAGGTCACTGAACTTTATATAGCGTATGCACATTTGCGATTAAAATAAGTAAGTAATCACTGTGGATATGGAATTATCCACAGGCAAGGATAATTTCTTGCATGGGAGAAGCAGGCCTACTGAGTGCTGCAACAGGCATTAATGGGGATGTAATTCTGTTAGTTCTTTGCTGTGTGAATTAATTTTGCAAGAAGACTTGGGAAGGAAACACTCACCTTGTGTAAAGAAGAGCTCCAATTTCACAAGGCCCTGCAATAAATATTTAGTACACATAATCCACTGTGTCTCATTCCTTTTGCTTTAATTGGCGGCAAGAAATATGTTGCTTGTTGTGGTTTATTGCTGCTGTGATATTTTACTATGTCGCTTCTTACTGCTTAACTGTCTTCATTTTAGTAATAAGAGATGCAATTCAGCCAAGGTTAAGCACTTCAGTGGGAGAAATCCAAGCATGCACCTTACTTTTCCTTTGCAACCAGGGAGATCTAAGAACACTTAAGTGTGACCTGATTATTCCAAGATTGTGACACTACCTGGCCCAACGGTGGATAGGGGAGAAATTTGAGTCAGTTCTCATTTAGAAACGACCTTACTGAATTTGTACTTTTTGAATCAGTAAGCAAACTGAAACCCAGCCATTCTTTGAAATGTACAGTTTTCTGAACTTTGCAATGCATTTCTCCAGCCAAGTAAGATGTACAGAAATGCATGTGTGTATATCACTGTGTATGAAACTAAATAAAAAAATTCCTTCCAGTAGCACCTTAGAGACCAACTAAGTTGTCTCTAAGGTGCTACTGGAAGGAATTTTTTTATTTAGTTTCGACTACGGCAGACCAACACGGCTACCTACCTGTAACTATCAGTGTGTATATCAGTGAAAATAGCACATACAGTAATGCACAATGTATCATATTATATCTGTATATCATCTAGTGATATTTTATGTGAAAGTGTAGTTTATAAATATTTGAATACATAAGTAAAGGCTATTAGGGGAAATTGTTTTGCAAAAAATATCTTCAGTAGGAAAAACTGCATACAAAAATATGTATGCTGGAAGAAATTCACACTAATATATAGCTGAATTTTCGTGAGGCAAACTGATATAGAAATGTGGAAAACTGAATATTTATTACTATTATTACTATTATTTATTGAATTTATATACTGCCCTATACTCGGAG